CTGTCCCTCTGTTCTAACTACTGGTTACCACTGGGCTCTATGAGCACCTCTCTTGCACGTTTAACGTTCTGTAACTCAAAGCACCATTTAGGTCATGACATCCCTGATCTCAGTCTGCCTACATCACTGTGTAAGCACATACTCCTCACAAGCCTTCAGATCGTCCAACTCTCACTCCCGTTTCCCTCTGAGCATTCCCAACAGACAATGATTTTTTATCAGCGTGTCAACTCTGCCCCACCGGGCCCAACTGTGCTCTGAATTCCCGAGTCCCACTTCTGCAGGGAGCTAAGAGACACATGAAGAACTTATTCCACCCATTTTACTCCACATTTGTGGAGGCCCTCCCAGCTGCTGGCAATCTTGTTAAGTCATCACTTAATAACTTCCAAACTTCCCTCATACATTAGAGTCGTGAATACATGCCACTCACAAATCCCCTCTCCCCAGCTTCTTTCTCAATTCTTTCTCTACTCATACAATGAAATTAAAGCCCCATCTTCATTTCAGATTCAGTAACATCTATGCGCCTCTCACCCTTCCTCAACCCAAGAAAGATTCCATACGCTACAATCCTACCTGTAACTTCTGATAAATGATTATCCACTTTGTAAATATAAAACTTTTTATTATAGGTCGAATTTTTATTATTCAGTGACCCAAAACAATTTTATTAATTTAAAAACAATGCCCAGCCTATGAGTCAAGCAATAAACATCTTGTAATAACTTCTTAGTTTATAGGTCAAAAACCACACCTTTAGAATTCTTTCTGTCTCTGTCTCTCTCTCTCTGTCTCTCTCTTTTTAGTGCAGCATACCAAACTCAGGACCACCACACTCTGGCAACTGCTCTACTCTGACATTCTCTGCCCCTGCGCCCAACATTTCACTGCTCCCAGAGGACCTCATGCCCAGAATACTCCTCCTGTTACTGTCACCAACCCTCCCCAAACTCAGGCACTTCTGCTGTCATACACATAACTTGTCAATGATCTCTTTATAAGGATATCCAATAAACTTTTGTCTGTGGTGTTAAACATGAATGACCTAGAGCTGAGAGGATAGTATAGCTTTGTCACAAAGCAACTGCCTAACATGCACATCCTGGATTCAATTGCAGCACTAAAAAAAAAATTTTTAAAACACTGTAACCTTTTCCTCCTTCTCTAGACTATCCAAAGCAATATCGTAAATACTTCTTTTCCCTCTAGCTCCTGTACTTTGGTCTTCCTTCCTGGAATTCCTATTTCTTCCTTCAACCTTCCTAGTGGTAATTCTCAGTTTATTTCTGCCTCCATTCCTGATGGGTAACAATCACTACTGATGATTAACCTCTCATTGCAGGTTAATTCTCTGCCCCACCCCAGTACTGTTTTTCAAGGTAGGAGTCCTGCCCCATGTCAGGAACATTCCTGACAACCAAAGCCCAGAGCTCTCAGTCTCTGAATTTCTACTCATTCTAACTGTGGCCAATAACATGACAATGAACAAGGACTGTACAAGTACAGTACATTACCACCGACAGCTACTGTGAGTATTCAGGTTTTCCCTCTGACCAGACAGCAATTCCCTGAAGGCAACTTCTTGCTTTAGTGATCTCTCCAAAGGACCAAGTGCCAAAGTATAAAGCCATCGCTCATATACCTGCAAGTATCTTCTAACACTTCCTCAGTACCTGAAATGTACAGTCAAAAGTTTCCAAACCCCAGAAACAGAACACTAGTTTGCAGGATGTTAAAAAGAAATGTGGTGAAGAAAGGTTTCATGATTAAAAGCTTAAATATTGGGTTAAACAAAGTTAATAAGGTTTATATTTAGAATTCTCTAGAACTTTAATCTTGCTATTTGTTAATCTCCAAGAGCAGAACTTCGTAAGCCAGTATGTTGCAAATTCCTTTCCCATCCTCTACCGCTCATTACCAGGACTTACTTACTTCCCACCTTCTACTGCTCATTACAGGATCTATTCTCCCTTTTCAGAGAACACACTAGAAGAAATGCTAATTAATTTTCTCTCACTTCTTTATATCCAGTATGATTTCTAAGGATACGTTAATAGTGCTGGTTTTGTGACTCATCCCAGCAGCCAGTCTCAGCATCCCTCAGTTACTTCCCAGGCTATAAAACTAAATTAATTAATTAGTTAATAAGAAAAATCAGTATTTGTTTCAGAATATTTTTAAGTTTCCTTACTATTTCTGAATCGAACCTCATTTACAAAATTTCATTTATACACCATATCAACTCAGAAAGGTGTAACTCCATGTTTATAAAAACAACAGTAGTCTATGAAAAACCAGGGATAGCTTAAGGGACCTGACACCCTCTCAACAAAACCAAGTCCAGGAATATAGTTCAGCAACATAGCACCTGCCTGGCAAGCACAAAGTCATGAGTTCAGTTCCCAATAACAAAAAAAAAAAAAAAAAAAAAAGGACAAAGTATAATACCTTGGAAAGCTGGGTATAGCATACACTTGTAATCTCATCAACAGTATCTGAGGAGCTCAGACACGAGAATCTAAAACTCAAAACCACAGTGGTAAACTTAAGATCCAACCTGAAATAGGGCTGCAGATGTTGCAGCTGTCCTAGAGAGAGGCCCTGGTTTCAATCCCCAGATAAGAATTTGCAAAACAGACACCCTATTCTTCTCTAGGAGGCTCACAATACTTAACACATTTAAAGAATTAAAGAAAGGAGGAAAAAAGAACTCCACACTTTAGTAAACGTTGTAACAGTTTTATCAGTATATCCATTTAAGGCCTGTCAGGGAAGCTATATAGTTGGTTTCTGCTTCAACATACTGTTACAATATTGAAATAATCTTGGGGCTGGGGATTAGCTCAGGGCATAAGCGCCTGCCTTGCAAGCAGGCAGTCGTGAGTTCCATCCCTGGTACCGATAAAGACAAAAAAAGAAATTATCTTTTATAAAAACTTGACTAAGCAACAAGTAATCATAAGGTAAACCTCTAAATGCTCCCAACTATTATCATTTTCAGTGGGGGAGTGTTTAAATTCAGACCTAGGCTAGGGAGCCAACTCATTTCAAGGAAAAGGGGAGAAGGAGAGAGAAAAAGAGGGGGCGGGAAGAGGAAGAAAGAAAAAGAAAAAGAGAAGGAAAGGGTAGGGTAGGATCTCATTTTCTCAACAGTCAGCTTTCAGAATTTACATAACAGGGGAAATAAATTAGGAACACTATTCCTGGAATCACACAAGAAACTGATCAGGGCTAAAAGCAGGACCTTAGAAATGCCTCAAATACTGTACTAACATTTTTTTTGTAACAGTTTTCTCAGGAGTACAACTGTTTAATAGATATACTGTACTGGTTATGTGAAAAAAATCCCAACATTTAATCTCCACCGTAAAAGCCTCACCTTTACCTGAGTCTTTCCTAAAGGTTTACTACACCTGATTTATTTTTATATGCAATACTTTGACTCTCGTTTCCTGGAACAAAATGACGAAGTGATCTGCAACCAGAATGAGGTTCAGTACCTGACTCTGCACACACCTCATCATTTAGTAACACTTACTTATCAAATGAAGCACTCTGGGGACTAAGCAGTGGAGATTCACTGCTTCACAGCTCTAAATTATGGGAATAATGTGTTTGTGCAAAACCATTCTACTAACAAGACATAGCAAAAGTATAACTAATTCTAGAGTCAGACTAGAGACTAATAATTTCAGTGAGCTATTTATAGGTCTTTCTGTGGCTTTTTTTAATCTACTCTAAATTTAAACCTGCTTATTTTCAGAAGCTAAAATGAACGTAAAGTTAAATATAGGAAAAATACACACTAATGTGTACAGGCCACCTCCTTCTCAGTTGCTTCAGCAACAGGCTGCAAAGACTTTTCCCAAGTACCTTCATGCCTACTGCAACCCCACTTGTGTTTTAAAAACGTTCTTTCTGCCAGGTATGGCGATGCACACCTGTAATTCCAGCACCTAGGGGGCAGAGGTGGAAGGATCAGTGGGAGTCTGAGGCCACTGTGGGCCATACAGTGACATCAGTGTCAGTCTGAACTACACAGGGCAATCTGTCTCAAAAATAAGTAAGCAAAATAAAATAAAAGAGCTCTTTCTTCCAAGATCAGGTCAATTGTAAATTTTAAAAAGAAACACAAGAGTATAATTCTTATTGCCAGAGTTAATTTCAATTTTAGAAAATCAGTCACATCAGATAAAATTCTCACAATCTCAAAAGCTCACACCTTTAGGTAGTAATAAAACATTTCTCAAAATATACAATAAAAGGGTCTATTTTTAACTGTTTTAGAAAATACAGTCATTTAAATTTTTCATAGCTATCATTTTAAATGTATGCACATACTGATGATAAATGATATTTTCCACAGGTAGTGTTTTAAACGGGTGCACATGTGTGTGATCCATGTGTGTGATTTTTCAATAGCCAGGGACATTTCTGGGCCTCTTCCACCAGAGAATCAAGTCTAAGACAATTCTTCCAGTTACCGATTAGCAATGATTTTTGTTGAGACGGAAGTGGCAGGAAGTAAGATGATACATAATGGCACTGTCGTAGGTATAGCTAGTTTGCCCTGCCCAGAAGAAAGCGGTAAAAATTTAAAATTTTTAGGGTACAAGATAAGTTCAAGAAACGCCACCCGACGTTCCACAGGTTCCCTCCCTCACCTAGCAGACCCTTCTGAAAGCACCGCGCACACACACACACACACACACACACACGCCCCTCAGTTCTCGCAGCATTCCCTGACCCTCCTTTTTCAACGCAGGCATCTCCCCGGCCCGGGTTTCTCACGCGCCCAAAGGCGCCCCCTGCGGCCCCCGCACCCCCCTCGGGGACCACCGCCCTGCCCGGCCGAACCCAGCCGCCAACGGGGGGCGCCCCCTGCCCCAGCGGGACCTCGGCCCGCCCCTCTCCCGGTCCGGCCCGGCGCCCCAGGCCTCCGCGGCCCCCTTACCCCAGCACCGCCCCGCAACACGCCCCTCGCCTCGGCCGCTTACCGCACATGATGCTGGAGGCGCGGCCCGCAGAGCGAGGGGCAAAGGGCTGGCGAGATCTGGGGCGCAGACGCGAGCTTCTGGGGAAGTATGCGAGAACGGGGGCCGCGGTGGCAGCGACACGACTCCCACCGGGATGAGACGGTCGAGGCAGCGACCGCGGAGGGAACGACAGCTCCGGGAACCACCGCTCTCCCCGCCTCCCGGTCCCAGCCAGCAACCGACTCCGGGCCCGGCCCCTCGACACGCACCGCGTCGCCGCCGCACGCCCCATTGGGCCGCGTCTGCGCCGCTCACGCGCAGGTCCCGCCCCCTCCCGCGCGCCGCCCCGCCCCGCCCCCCGGGCCTGCGCAGCCACCGCAGCGCTGGCGGCGGAGACGTGGCACCCTCGTGGCCGCATCCGCCTGAGGTTCCTGGAGCCTCGCGGCCAGCCGAGGGAGCGGCCGGGCGGTGGGGGAGGAACGGTGGGAAGCCGAGGATGGAAATGTGAGCAAAGCACGAGGCTCGCTCAGCCCAGAGCGCCAGCACTGCACGAAACTGGGAGCAGGGAGAGGGAAGCAAATTTGCGAAGGCGATCGAGGACAGAAACATGTCAGGGGGAAAAAGGGACAGAAGGCCGAGCGAAAATGCAAACAATTGGGTGCGGCTCTGGGAGACAGGTACCAGTTGGACCCTTTTATCGGAGAGCAGGCCATTGCATTCAGGATTTAAGCTCTGGGTAACGTGTTTGGCCCCTAAAAGCTTTCCGCACTCCGTCCTTTGCCACCGTAACCCCCTGTTCATTGCGAAGAAGACAAGGGGACCGCAAGGCCGACTGTGGGACCCTGCACATGTTGTAGGGAAGTGCGGCGCACCTCGGGTGGCTCCCCTGAGAGGACTGGAAATCGCTTGTCAGCGCGTTCGACTAGCGAAGGCTTCATTCCATGAATTAATGGACCATTCCTGCCAAGAGAAACTAGATTTGAATGGTGTTTCCGAGAAATTATTACCCTGGCATTTCCTACCAGAAGATTTAAATAGATGCAGGTGGTTGTCAGACCTTCATTAATGGCTCTAAACTAGCACCAGATAGACTTATATGATATATAAAAGCTCTGAGTTCAGACTGCTGTGACGATATCTGGTCTTAGGGCGCTCTCCCTACCCCACTTTCCAGCTAGCTGTGTGTACTCCAATAAGGATGAACAAGTGGTTCTCCAACCAGGCCAACATTCTCAAATCTTTTGCACATTTTAGTTCCTCTGCTTAGAGTGCCCATCCCATCTTGGTCTAAAGATTGCCTTACTGGGAAAGCCTGTCACCCAAATCAGATTTAGAGGTGTGCCTGAACCTCTTTCATTGATCTGCCTTCTCTAAAGCAATACAATATGCTCTTATATTTTATGATTTTTTAAAACTATCTCCCCACTAAACTATAGAATCTCTTTGTATAACCAATACCTTATTGATCCTAGCAAAAAAGGATGGATCAAGCTGGGCATGGTGGTGCATGCCTGTAATCCCAGCAATTGAGAGGCTGAGGCAATACAATAGCTGCAAGTTCCATGCCCACCTGGGCAGCATAGTGAGTTTAAGGCCAGTCTGGACTACATAATGAGACCTTGTCTCAAAAAACACTTTTAATTAAATATATCTAAAATAATACTTTTTTCAAAAGGGAGATCAAAAATACTTTTTTGCAGCCAGGTATGGTGACACATACCTGTAATCTCAGCACTCTGGGAAGCTGAGATGGGAGGATCACAAGTTGAAGCTCAGCCTGGTCAAATTAACAAGGACCTGGCTCAAAAAAAAAGTTGGGCAGCTTAGGACTTAGCCCAGTGGCGCAGCGCCTGCCTGGCAAGTGTGAGGTCGTGAGTTCGATTCCCAGTACCAAAACAAAAACAAAACAAAACAAAAAAGAACCTATCAAAAACAAAGTTGGAAGTGTAGATTCAGTATGAAGGCCATGGGTTCAGTCATTAATACTGCCAAAAAATAAAAATGAGTTTTGAACTTTCTGAATGAGTTTTGAAAAGGCCAATCTTTTTAGTAGAATTAACCTTTATACAGCTGGTTATAGGATCAAGTGGGCAAAAGACTTTCACTTTCCTATCAAAAAGAAAAACTGGAAATACGACATTTATCTGTTCAAAATATTTCTCACATAAAAACCCTTTATTATTCCAAGCCCTTAAATAGGTCACTAGATAACTCAGAACAAAGATTAAAAAGAAACAGCAAGCTATTTGTTAGTAGGCAATACCTTTCTTAATTTAAGAAACAAAATTCAAAATCTTACTGGGTCCTACTTGTAACGCCAGCTACTGGGGAGGCGGAAAAAAGAGGGTCACAAGACAAAGGTTAGCTTGAGCAATGTACCAAGACACTGTTTCAAAATTAAAGAGGAGAAGGTAGCTCAGTGGTATAGTACTTACCCAGCATGCACATGGTCCTGGGTCTCAACCCCAGTGCTTAAAAAAACAAAAGAAAAACAAAAGTCTGTAGCTATGTAGCTAACTTAGCATAAGAACTTTCAGCTAAGAATTTCAAATCAGACCTGGCTAATATTGCTCAGGAGTCAAAAGTGTGGCTCCAATGTTTAAGCAACACCTTTGTTCACTGGCAGTAAACCTATTGATACCACAAAGAAAATGCCAGCAGTACCACCAAAGTTCCTGTGCTCCAGCTGTAATCATTAAACTCCTCACTCTCTCCATAGCAGAAGCTATGCCCTCACAGTGATTTCACTACTCTTTTGGAACTTGCATCCAGTTAAAAGAAAAAATGTTAAAGACCAATATTTTCCCCAATCCAGCTTTCAACAGCCTCACTAACATACCACAACAAAGAACTCTTTGTAACAGCACACAAGTGAGGACCCCATACAGAAGAACTTTGTCTGATCCTCATCTGTATAGAGCTGTACCTTTGCAGGGTCTTTGAGAATAAGGCCTGGAGGAGAAAATAAATGATTTAGGAAGGTAAGGAAACATCTGGGTCTAATTTGGACATCTGAAAAAATGGAGAGGATTTTCTCTCCTAATCAGAAAGTTCTGAGCTAAAACAGAAAAAGAGAAAGAAAAGGGTACCATCCATCATGTCTTTAAGTCCCACGTTTTGTCCCATAAGATGAGATGGCTCTCAGTGTCCTCTTTGTCATGTACCCTGATGCACTGAAGGCTGTCAGGGATTCCAGGTGCCATAAAGAAACAAAAAAAATGACTAAAATAGCTTTTAAAGGTTTTAAACATCACCAGCTTCATGATTTGCATGGCCCTTATCTGAATTCCAATAAGTAGACATAAAATTATTAAAATAAAAAGGTCTTTGTATTTAATAGAAATGGAGGAACCTAGATACATTTTTATGGAAAAAAGTGAAAGAAAATTTCATAACAAAATAATAGGAAAATAATAATAATACATTGAGTTTTGTTATCTTTAATCAGAGTACAAGATATAAGCATAAAAATATTCTCCAAATGATATTAGCACAAACCTTTCTTTTCAATGTACTAAGAAAAACTATTAGAATATCTTGTATTTTGGGGTTTTTTTCCAGTTCTCTTCCCTCCTTTCTACTTTCTCCCATCCTCATTCCTTTTCCCTTTTGAACAATTTCTTTCCACTTCACAATATCTATTGTACATTTTGGACCTTATCTACTCTTTCAGTTTTTCATACCAAGGAGACAAACAATGTTTACACATGTGAGTCTGATTTATTTCACATATAAGTATAGTCATTAGTTGCATCCATTTACCTATAAGAGTTTCAAGTTTATCCTTCTTTATGGCTGAGTGGTAGTCCATTGCATAAAAAGACCACATTTTTTTTTTATCCATTCCCCAGATGATGGGCATTTGGGTTGGTTCCAAGATTTAGCTATAACAAATTGTGCTGCTATGAACGTGTGTGTGTGTGTGTGTGTGTGTGTGTGTGTGTGTGTATCACTGCAAGGTACTTTTCTTTAAAAAAGTGTCTCAGGGCTGGGGATTTAGCTCAGCGGCATAAGCACATGCCTTGCAAGCAGGCAGTCGTGAGTTCGATCCCCAGTACTAATAAAATATATATATATTTTATTAGTATATATATAAATATATATATATATATATATATATGTAAAGTGTCTCAATATCTAGGGAAAACACACAATGGACAAAAAAGGTAAAGGTAAAAATCAAAGGATAAAGAACTAAGCTGAGCCCTTTAGGCGTACAAGGAGGAAAAAATGAAGACAAGAACAAATGGCCCTTGTGAGCCTCTTGATCCCACTAACACCCCAATTTATCCTGCACACCTTCACACATGAGCAGTCTGTCAAAACCACAGATGCAATCCAGTTTCTCCTGCTTCCAATTATGTGGGTACCCTACTCAGACAAGATGAAATCCAGATACCCATGAGCACACACACTGTATTTTAATATCTCCCTCTTGGCTATCACTCCTATCATACTACTCCAGCATATTGTGGTCTAGCTGTACTTAACTACTGGAAGTTCCTGAAAAAGAGAATACTATCTGACTTTTACTTTTTGCATTGCATTTTCCCTTTTGGGGAAAAAAGCACAAAAAAGGTTTCTTGTCATCTGCTCCCAATGTGCTCACTTAGCTTCCTGAGGAAGCTAAAGGCCATCTTGGAATGTGGCCCTCACCTTTCCTGATGACTGCACCACCCTGCATGTGACCTCTGTGTACCCACATCTCTGAGCTGACTTGCATCTACTCTGCTCTCATCCTGTGTGTCTATGAAGTGACTGCCACAGAGGCTAGGGCATGCCGTCATTAAAACAGCTGGTGTTAAGGTTCACCCTCGGCCGGGCACATGCTTATAATCCCAGCACTCAGGAGACTGGGGTTGGAGGATCACTACAAGTTTGATGCCAGTCTGGACTACAAAGTGAGTTTAAGGCCAGCCTGAACTGCATAGAGAAATCTGTCTCAAAAAGACAAAAAAAAAAATAAAAAGTAAATATAAAGGTTCACCTCTTTGGGTGTGGCTCGTTTGCAAAGGCCCTGGCCAATGTCAATATCCTGAAACTTGTCTACAATGTATGTGCTGGTGGCCAAGCTCCAGCAGCAGCTGCCACGCTGCCAGGAAGTCCTGTTCTCTTCACCACCTCTGCTCTGCTGAGGAAAGGGGTGAAGCAAAGAAAGAAGAACCTGAGGAGTTGACGGGGTTTTAATCTTTTGGATTAAAGCTCTTTTGTAATGTTTTCAATAAAACGCTTAACTATGGAAAAAAGAAAATTGAGAGGAAAGAGAGAGAGAGCACGTGGAAAAGAGATAAGGGTTAAGTAGTTTAGACTTGACTA